TGGCATTATAAATACCACATGCTTCTAGGCAATGAGCCAGTTAAATAACAAATTTTATAGGAAACTAAAGGTACATGTTGCCCTGAACTCTGGTAAAATGTGTCACAATATAAAAAATGTTTGTTAATAATGACAATGTAGGCTATCATTAATTAATATGAAATGTATTAATAAAATCATGTCAGTAGCAGAAACTGCTTTTTGGTTTAAATTTCTTTTACAGATGTAATCAACTAACTAGGAAGTACAAAGGACTAGAAAAAAGAATGGTAATCTGAGTCTGATTCCTGCGTTTCATAGCACAGCTCAACTTGACACACAATAGGCGCTTAATAAAGATTTGTCTTGTCTAAGATACTACGACTACAAAGCACTCCAGAGTTAATACTGGTTCAGAGGAGACATTGCCACCTAGTGAAAAATCAGCCTTATTACGTAGAATTATCAAATAATGTTGAGAACTTCCCAAATTAGACTTGACTCCACTGAAAACACTACATGTGTATTTATTATGTGTCAGTATTCTGGGTAGGTACTACTAGGAAAAAGATGAACAAGCTTCCATCTTTGCTTCTTACAAAGTATAGAAAACATAAGGAAACTACATACTCCACAGAGAAACAAAGAAAAAACTGTACTGTAGAAAAAACAAGGTTTGATTATTAGACATTTAGAAACTAATATTTCAAGAAATGTGCTGAAAAGGAAATTTAGTGTAGCAAATGAGAGCATGGACTCCAGGAGCAAACTGCATTGATTTAAAGCCATGGCCCCTGTAAAGTGAGGATAACAGCCCCTATGTCACAAGATTATTGCAGAAACTTAAAAACAGTACCAGGAACAAAGAAAATGCTATGGAAGTATTAACCAAAATTATTATTAAATTTAGAACAATATCCTAGAGACCGAGGTGAATAAATATTGATTAATAACAAAACATTAACTGAAGTCTAGCTTCATGAATTTAATTCAGTAGAAGCCGTTTCTCTGACTAGTGCTCTGTTATTATGGGAATCCTAAAAGTACATTATTTGTGGTACCCTGTGACTAAATTTTGTATTACTGGATGATTAACCCTTTCAACATCAGGCAAATAAAACTGCCTTCTGAAAGTAAAAATCATATTTCTTACCAAAAAAAGCAAAAAGTCAGTAGAATGAAAGACCCGAAAGACCACAACCTGAACATATGTTTACCAGGGAAAGATGCTTGCTAACTCTTCACAGATTTTGCTAGAACTGAAAGATGGATGATACATTTAGTTACCACTGTGGTCTCATTCACAGCTTGTTTAGCTTATAAAAAAAATAAGCTTGCTCCATTTTCCTTGAAAATTATCTGATAATTTTTTAAAACACCACTTAAAAATCTCTGAAGTCTTTTGTGTTTTTTTGAATTTTATACTATTAAAATATTTATGTAAAGCCATATGTAAACTTTATTTTCAAACAAAACATTATGAGCAAAATATTCCTGTATTAAAAAATAAAATAGACAAAACTCTAATAGGTCAGTAATAAACATTACACTTTTCTTATGGATCTATACCATTCACAAGAACTCTGCCAAATCTTAGATGTCTTAAGATTACTTAACTTCTTCCTAAGCTTCCTCTTTTTAAAAATAGCAACAAGTTGGGAGAATGTGTTGAAACATTTTTGAGTTTTAATTTGTTTGTAAAGGTGTGTTTGCATATCAAAAATTGTGTTTGTGATATATTGCACAAATAATTTTAATTTAATGTGCCTATTATTTGAATATTTTAATTTCTAAAATGCTCATGGAAATCCTTCCTTTTGCACATTAAGATAGTGTGGAAATAACATTATGTTTTTAATTTTATGCATTTATACTCTAATAAATTGACCTGGAAAGAAACATACTTTAATAAATAAAAGACTGACCAACAGAGTAAAAGAGAGGAGAAAAAACTCTTCAACTCCTTTCTATGTAGAGATGCTTATCAGCATATTAAAACAGAAATTCTTACATATAGTCAAGTGTATACTGGTTGGATAAGCATAACAACCCATTTTATCTTTTGTTTCAATACTGTGCTGATCAATTTACCTAGTACTTTCACAGTCATGGTCTCACAGTATCTTCACAAATACCTCTCTTAGGTAGGACAGGTACTAGTACTGTAGTACCTTTTAATAAACACGAAAATGGAGCTTCAGGAAAGACGCTTGTGCAAGGTCACTAGAGGAAGAGAATAGAGCCTAAACCCCATTTTTTTGGACTCCTAAAATGCTTAGCTCTTTCTACTACTATGCCTCTAGAATGGACTTCCATGCTTATTGCCTAAAAACCAAATTGGCAAACCTAACTATCCTAGGCTAATCTGATGATAAAATCCTCTGTCAGTGACAAAAAATAAATTGCTTGAAGAAAAGACAGAGTGGAACTTTAATGTGTATGTGTAGTGAAAATTTCAAAGGCATAAAAAGCAAATTGGAAATTGAATGAAGACTATTGTAAAATCTCTTAAGAGTCTGAGGAAATAACTGTGCTGCCTATTTCCTGTATAACAATTCCAAATATAAAGTACTTTGGTATAACTCTTCATTTATGTGAAGATTTAGAGTGGGTACAAAGAGAGAACTGTTTCAGGATACATGTTGAAACTAGACACCAGATTTGGACATTGAATGATTTGAGGAATCCATCTGTTTTTTCCTATAATCAGGCAGTGCTTATTTTTGCTAACGTCTGCTTGTAACAGTAAATGGTACTGTGTTGGTTGACAATCCCACCATTAGTAATAGTGTTCTATAAATCTCAGTATGTGTTGCAGAAATGATTTCCTCTCTATAAAGTTCTTTAAAATAAGATTAAATCTTGATTTTACAATAAATTATGCTAGAAAACATTTTTTTCTAGCATAATTCACCCAGGAAGGCATAATATAATCCATACTGTGATCAAGAACTTCAGATTTATAACTTAATTGCCTAACAACTTAGTATTTATCACAACCATTAATCAATTCAATCTATATTAACTTAATACACTTAGCTTTCCATAAGCAAATCAAAGAAACTAACGAAGACTTTTCATTTTTGTACAAGAATATATGAAGAAAACAGAAATGCAATTTTGAGAATGACAGCACTAACAGTATAATATAGAAGAGTGGAATTCTAATTTCAGGACAGAAGTTAAAGAAATATATGAAAACCAGCATAAATCCAAAGAATTATTAAAATACCACACTGTCCCTGAAAAATAAGGTATCCAAACTTTTTATTTCCTTATTATTTCTCAGAATGTTAGAATAGTGTAATTGCAGACCTGAAAGACATTAGATTTCTAATTCCAGGTGATGTTTTCACTGACATGTGATTTTCCCCCTACTTTTTATGTTAAGAAACTCTCAAAACTACAACTTATTAAAACTATATGCTTTAGTTAAGAACATAGGATAAAAATATTAACTCAATAGTCAACCGAAAACATTAAAGATCTGTATTTCCTAAGTGTTATTTACCTCTTAAATTTAGTTAACATATTCCAAATAATTTTTAGGTAAATTCTATTTATTTAAATTGATTTACAAAGAAACTGGTGGCTAGCTTTCTGTGATTCCAACGGAAGGGCACAATTGTTAGGTGTACTTTGATCAGTATTTAAATGGCAGACAGATTCCTGGTTTAGTCTAAATGTAAATGTTACTCTAAAAATTCTTTACTTACCAAGTGGTGGACTTACCGTGGAAATCATAAATATACAGAAGAATTGGCTCATTTTGCCCAAATGCACAGAATGCAACCATATTTTCAAATGGATGATAAGAAATGTCTCGAACAGGTGACTTGAACGGCAAGTCAGAATACATGGCTACTTGTTCTCCTAAATAAAAAGAGAAATTAAAAAATGTTTATCAGAGCATATCTATATCAGATAAATCTTGTTACAAGATTATTCTGCCATTTATTAGAAAATATAGTAATGCTCATATTATTTATGTGAAAACCTCAAATATTTAAAAATGTTTGAGTAACAATGTATGAAATTATCTTTATTTTACATTTCCTTGACCCTCCTCTTTCTACTTTCTACCTCTTCAATGAGGTTTTCAAAGCACAAAAGAAAGACAAAGGGCACAGAAGGAAGTAGAGAGGTATATGACTCTGAGATTGGACAGAGCTAAGCAAACTCCAAATGACAGAGAACTCTGGGTAGAACTATGGGAGAAATTACAGGACTCTAAAACTAAAGAAACTCTAGTTGGGTGAGTTTTGGTGAAGGATTAACTTTTCCATTTTTTTTTTTTTTCCCCAGATGCTGTTTGAGGTACCCATTTGCTTGAAAGATACTTATGACTCTGGCCTAAAAGATATCTAAAGCAGAGATCTGTGGAACGCAGGAAAATCAGTCAGGAATCAAAAAGCGAAGAATCTAGGTTCATTTATCGAAGGTGAGGGAGACAACGCTACTGAATTGATGCTAAAGCATCAAAACACGGTACAGGAAACATTCAAACAAAAGCCTAAGTTAGCTGACTAGTCAAAATGCCTAACAGAAAGAATACAAAAATAAACAAGGAAAAAATCAAATACTGTTCATTAAAGAA